AGACTGCCGCTCATGGAGTGTGTGCAAGTGGTACGTGGAACGTGTTACATGTGCACGTGTGCTGACATTACGGTGAGGAGGTTTTCGTACTGACTCTCTGTCGCTCACTTTGCTCCAGACCAAAGATGTAACTACCGCCATGGCTGAGGGCAGATTTGAGGATGCCATCAAGCTCCGAGGAAAGTAAGTATTTCCTAAAGAATGCAATCATAACAGCAACAATTCAATCGATTCATCATAAAAGGTTCATTTGAATTCTTAATCAGAAGACAGACATAAGAAACTGGATTAATACCTGGAAAATGTCATGCATCATTTAAAGTTGTATTTAAATGATTAAAAAGATATATATACTTTTTAATTTGGTCAATTTTATCAATTTATTCTAACTAGACACAGTAACAATCTATTCTAAACTAGTGGCGTATGCTGGGTTTCATGGAAGCAGCATCAAAACATTGAACAAATCGACAATATACTTTACAAGTATATTGTAAAGTATAACAAAGTACTATTATTAAAAAGATGATGTTGTAACGGATAGAGATTGATACAACGATTCAAAATCTCACTTGCTCAGAGTTATTAACTCTCAACCTTATTTATGTCACGCAGGAGTTTTGAGAACAACTGGAACACATACAAGCTGCTGGCCCACATTAACCCCCCAGATGTTAAGGTAAGGAGATTCCTTTTTTTAAGCCGGACTGAACGAATGTTTATACCAACTTATTGTGACATCTTCTTTCTCTCTGAACAGAGCAACATCAACGTGGCCATAGTGAACGTTGGCGCTCCCTGCGCCGGCATGAACGCCGCCGTCCGCTCAGCAGTCCGGATGGGCCTCATCCAGGGCCACACCATGCTGGCTGTCCATGACGGCTTTGACGGACTGGCTCACGGACAGGTCAGACGGCTCCTTTGTGTCGCGATTTGGTGAAAATTATACAGTAAAGTAACACAAATGCTAATCGACTCGTGGTGTCAAAACATAGTTATATATAAAACGTACGATCTCTGTGTCCAAATAGTCGCTCATGTTTTAATATTGTTTTTATGAGGTGCAGTACTCAGTATTTTTCTCTCACTGCAGATCGAACCGATTACCTGGACTTCAGTGACTGGCTGGACTGGAAAAGGAGGCTCAATGTTGGGCACAAAGAGGTGGAACACAAGTTGTAACTCAGTGGGGCTGCAGAGGGAGGGTTTAGCAGGAGAGGTGCCAGTGTGCAGCAGAAGTACCCTTGTGCAATGCACCAAATCTTCGGCTGTTAATACTAAGATTGCCGCTATACACAAAGTATGACAGTAAAAGTTGATTTACCATTTAGAGTTACTGTGTAATTTGTTTCTGTTTCCCCAAAGATCTCTGCCTGGTAAAATATTGGAGGAAATCAGTGAGAATATTGCCAAGTTTAGCATCCACGCTTTAGTGATCATCGGTGGCTTTGAGGTAAAGAGATGTGATTACAATGTTCGTTTTTTAAAACCAGAAGCCATAGCATTGTTGCTTGAGCAACAAAAAACAAATGACTCCTTGCGTTGCTGCAGGCCTACGTGGGAGGCCTGGAGCTGGTTCAGGCCAGGGAGAAATACGAGGAGATGTGCATTCCCATGGTGGTTATCCCTGCCACCGTCTCCAACAACATCCCCGGCTCTGACTTCAGCATCGGCGCCGACACCGCCCTCAACACCATCACCGGCGTATGTGCCTTTAACAGCAGATACGCACACATGTATTACAACAACAAAAAATACACAGCAAAATACATTTTCCGTTTTCTTTTCCCTGCAGACTTGCGACAGAATCAAGCAGTCTGCAGCCGGGACCAAGCGCCGCGTGTTCATCATAGAGACCATGGGCGGATACTGCGGCTACTTGGCCACCATGGCTGGTCTGGCCGCCGGGGCCGATGCCGCCTACATCTACGAGGAGAAATTCGGCATTAGAGACCTGGAGGTGACTTGCAGTTGTGACATGTTTGTCCAGGTTTCCGTTGCAAGTTTAAAGAGTGTTGTGTTGTGATTGTGATCTGTGGTCTGCAGGTGAACGTGCAGCACCTTGTGAATAAGATGAAGACGACAGTGAAGAGAGGTTTGATTCTCAGGTTGGTTTTCAGTCAGGTCTGAAGCAAAGTTACAGCAGATATGAACTGTTACTTGTTGTGCATGCTTCTGGGTTACTTCTGAGTCAACAATACGGGTATTTAAAACACAGAATGTCTTTAGCTTTAGAACATTTTAGTCATGAATTCAAAGTGCGAGTTATTTCAAGTTATGCACATAAGTAAGCGTTTATTAAGCCTTTTTTTTTCTAAAAGTATTTTAAAACATTCTGTACCTCCAAAAAACAACAGTGCTAAATATTGCAACAATCTGTCACTTTTCATTCTACAACAGGAATGAGAACTCGAATGCCAACTACACCACTGACTTCATCTTCAACCTGTACTCTGAGGAGGGCAAAGGCATTTTCGACTGCCGTAAGAATGTCCTCGGACACATGCAGCAGGTCATTTCACGCAGCGAAGCAGCCGATCCGCTTGAATCAAATTCTGTCCTTTTTGTTTTTTGGCAAAGGCTGTACACCATTAAAAGGTGGGGCCGTTTTAGGGAGGTGTGCAAACAAATCTATAAGTCATGTACACTCAAAAAGGACATGCCTCCTTTGACAGCGAGGTAAATGAAACACACTTCAGCAATAACGTGGTTCATTTAAACAATGCGTCGATGTCTGTCCTTTATGTACAGGGCGGGACTCCAACACCCTTTGACAGAAACTTTGGCACAAAGATGGGGGCCAAGTCTGTTCTGTGGCTCACTGAGAAACTCAGGGAGTGTTACAGGCACGGTACGTGGGCCCAAAGGCAAATGTCTGTATACGGAGTTTATTCACTGCAACTGTCCCAAGTATAATTTTGACTTGTACCTACTTCAACTTTTCCATTTCAATGTGGTTACTTTATATTCAAACGGAAGATTCTGTTGTTCTACTCCACTACATTTATGTGACAGCTTTACTTACTGGTTACTTTGCAGATTAAGATTCTATAAACAAAACACACAATTATCTTATGAATATGATGCGTACAGTATATGAAGAGGTTCAAATTTAGAAATAAAATGCCACCTTCGCTAATGCTTTAATAATTGAAATTCAATTATATAACGAGACTCATTTTACTTATTACTTACTTACTTAGACCCATTGATATTGAAATTTCATTTTCAATGAACATTAAAATTTCACTTCTTGTGTCCTTCAGGTCGCATCTTCGCCAACACGCCAGACTCCGCTTGTGTGCTGGGCATGAGGAAGAGGGCGCTCACCTTCCAGCCTCTTTCTGAACTGAAGGAAGACACAGATCTTGAGTGAGATGCATGTTTTCTACATTATACTGTCAGTGGCAGTGTTATGGTCGTTATATGATGATGAATCCTCCGTCTGCCGCAGGCACCGTATACCCAAGACACAATGGTGGCTGAAGATTAGGCCCATCATGAAGATCCTGGCCAAGTACGACATCAAACTAGACACCTCCGAACACGCCGACATGGAGCACGTGATCAAGAAAAGTCCCCTCGGAAAATAAACTGTGCCCGGGAACAGAGCGAGGCAGTTTTTTTTGTTCCATTACAGTTATTTCCTTGTCCTACTGTCCATGTCGGTAAAATAGCTGCCGTCTTATCTTTTCTCGTCATTGAGGTCCAGTCAAACGGCTCCATCGCAGTCATGTTCTGTAGCTCTCTCAAAATATTTAATCAATCAGATACCTTATATTAAGCAGGCAAAAAAGTGTATTTCCAAAGTATTAGTTGTATTGGAATTAATTAGTAAACAGTATCCTACTACATGTACAGTAGAATGCTGATAGAAAATTAGATTTTTAGCAAATCTTTCCCGCAAATCTTTACATTCTGGGGATGTTGATGCCTGTTAATGCAGTGGCAATGAAAGGGGTTACAAGTAACCTGTGTATGCTAACAATGTGCTTTTAAATTGGTCAACTCACACGTTTTGGCTCAAGTTTTTTTTCACTACAGATGTAGCACGTTCTAGTTAACAGGCAACAGAAAGTCTAAGATATCGTTTATAGCCTTTTATTTGTGATTTCAAAATATGTGCTCTAAGGTTCCCTTTTGAGGCTAGTGTAAACACAGATAAGCCCTCTCTCAGTCCCGCGTGTCACATGATATCTGGAGCTAAGTAGTCAAAGTCAACAGAGGTGAGGTTGAGGTTAAACCTGAACAGCCAAGTCCGTCAATCATAATACAAACATGTTTTCTTTATAACTAAGTACGTATAAGCAGTGGAGCCCCTTTATCTACGACACAAATAAACAAATACCTATTCATATTTAATTATCAGTGTTACACGGTGTAAACCGTATATTTTTGGATTCATTTCAGTGTTTACAGTGGCTCATCATCCGATAATGATTACATCACGGCGCTCCTTTTTCTTTTGATGCTACAGAGACCATCAATCAAACCTCCTTTTAAACACTGGGCATCCTTTGTGAGCATTACTATAACAACGATGTAGAAACTTGATGCCCAATAATGCATTTTTCTAAAATCCTGCTTATACAAATTGCCCTAATATATTAGAAAACATAATACAAGACCAGGAGTATCTAAATGATCAACTACAAATGAGGAAATTACTTATATCTGAGTAATTTTGTTTTTAGACATTTATTTCGAAATTATGAAATCAAAAACATGTTTGCTTGTGTTCTTCTTTCAAGCTGGCTTGAATGTTGGCTTTTAATAATTCAACTTTAGGCTTTAGATGGAATTGCCCCTTTATCATATCAACTATATTCAAAGTAGCTAAGGTATACTATATATATGTATTCCTAAATGTGGAACTCCACAGGACATGCATTTTGTAATCACGTCTTTGTCACACAAAAGTACTGTGAAAAAAAATAAAAAACTACAGCGAGGATCCGGAAAAGGAAACGTTTTGCGGAGAGGTCACCGGGAACTCGCGGTGGCAGCCGGGACGTCTGCGGACTGTGTGCCTGAGCTCAGGAAGGGTGCGTGTCCCCAGTGTCCGCTCCGGTCGCCCGGTCAGGAATGCGCCTCACAAAGCCGGTGTGCGGTGAAATATTTGATGAAACGCCAGCGGGGACTGTGATCTAAGAAGCGTCATGGTTTGCCATCGCGTATTCCCTCACTGTCTTAGCGTGCACGTTTGATTCATTGAGCTAGCTGGGGTTAGCTCGCTCCGTTGATTCATATCACGCTAGGTCGCTAGCTTTAGCGTGCAGCTAGCCGGGTAGCTAGCTCGTAAGCTAGTTTCACAGTGCTGCTGCCAAGTCGTCGAACAGAAGAGAACCAGGCTGACTGCTGAGCCCAGTCGATACCTCGGAAAACGAGTGGTGGCAGGCGGGGGGTCGGGAGAACGCGACGGAGTGGAAGTGAGTCAGGAGCGGCTGATGAGTTCAGATCAGAACGGAGAGCCGCCGCAGCTGCAGGAGGAGGCTGATCCCGGACCGGAGACTGGTGGGAAGGACGAGGCTCCGCTGGGGAGCGAGGGAGGGTCAGGCGGCATGGTGAGTGAGGCCTTCTTTAGCTAGCTAGCTAGCGAGCTAGCAAGCGCGCTACGCGACCGCTGCTCTTCAGGAACCTGTTAGCACAGTACGCCCCCTCGGTGAGGGGAGCGATGTCCATCAAGCAACAGCTAGAATTAACGCAACCGAGACACATTTGCAATCCTCATTCTCGGTTTGGCATATTGTTTATTCGCTAAATTGCAATTACCATGCGAAACTTAACCCCACGATCAACATATACGGAAGCACTTGCACGGCTGATTTAACGTCACTAACTTGAAGCGCGTAATTTCACCCGCTCCTCGTTGCCCTGCGCTCCACCGCAGCCACTACAGATGGCTAGGCTAACGCTAGCTTACCTAACGCTAGCTTAGCCGCTGCAACAAGCAAGCTCATTAAGTAGTTTGCTGAGTAATCATAAGCTTATAAGTTACGTTAATGACACAGCGGCGGGTTGGCTACAGTGGGACATAGAGCGGGGCTGCCGCATGAGCTCTTTTCGTTATGTTAGGTGGTCGATGGCTCGATTAATTGGACGAAGGGTAAACGTGGAATCACTAATGATACCTGTTAGCTAATCGCGCTTCTAGCTAACTGAGTTAGCGCAGTGACATGCGCTGCAAATACCTGGCCTGCGCTGCGCAGCTCGGTCAGCTGACATTACTTGGCTCGCCACGGCCAGCAACACACAAGCGTGCATTGTAACCATGTGTCAAGTTGCACGGCTCGGAAATGCTCTTGTAAAATGACAGAGGCCCAACCGTGGGACACGTCCATTCCCGTCCAAACAGGAGCGACGCTGCTTGATGTAACGTTATATTGAAAGGGGCAGCTGTACTTGTCAGGCAGAGTGCATTTGCTAAAAAGAGTAGGGGGTGATGTCTGTCTGCATGGGACAATGTTAACTAGAAGCTGGTAAATATGTGTCTACGGTCGTGCACATCTGGTGTCAATCCCTTGTTTGATTACATTTGTTCACATCAATATGTGTATGCCTTAATATGTACAGCATCTATTCTTGGCCACAGCTTTTTTTTTGTTGCAGGGTCAGGATTTCTCCTGCCAGTCCACAGCCCCTTTTGATGTGCAGAGTCAGATCTAATCCTTAACGTGCATCAAAAATATAAATGTTCGTGACCCACCACGTGGTTATTAAACACCTGTTGCTAAACACACTTTGGTTACTTGTAGCTTTTGCTATCTTTCTACTCTGTGCTGTTGGGGGTAATCTGTGTGTACAGGTGATCATGGGCCCCCTTCGGCATATTTCATTGCTTTACTCTGGTTTCCAATTAGTGGCCACGGAGCCCAATTGTATGCAGGTGTTCTCGCCATCCTAAGATTGCATCAGGTGATTCTTGTTAGTGACATTGTGTCACTCTAGTGACTTTGCGCATGCTTGAGATCTCGACGGCATCTTCTGTTATCAAATCAGCCAATAGCGCCATTCGCATTCGCTGTACTCCTGTACCGGTTAGTCCGACTAAGCAAAGATTCCAATTATACCATCATGTAAACACACTGAGTGCGTCTTCCGATAGATCGTCCTTTTGCGCACCCAGTTCAGATGTAATATTCCATATATCAAAATAACAAAAGGTACGTTTTCAATGCCCAAAATAAAGTTTTAGTCTATTGCTTAAAGATGGTTATCGTGTAGTGTTTTTGGTGTTTATCTGGTGTCTTTCCACCGTTACGTCACGTAATGATCACACCTGGTTTCCACGTGGGTGCTCATAGATTTCCCAGGACATTTGATCTTGCTCTTAAAGGTCATCGGGTTGATTTAACGCAATGCAGATGCCCTTTGCTTACTGCTCATTGCTTAATATTAGAAGTAAACGCATGTGTTTGTATTGATAACCAAATGGCTTGACTGAATAGTAGCCATGATATTGTAATGTTTGGAAATGGAGTTTTCTACACATTGGAAATCTAAAATTCGTAGAAGGATAATGCCATTGATGGATGAGATGGCAACTTTTAGGTGATCTGTAATAATATTGAAAATGGGATTCTTAAAGTGCCACAATATTTTTTCAAATTGCAGCATTTTAAAACATGATTGCCAGCTTTGCATGCGACACTGTAACGTGTCCAATCAAGCTAATACATTATTCATTCTGCTTTAATTTATAAATTAAATGAGCCTTATCCTGCTATTCCTGCTTTGAAGGTCACCTCTAAGGGCGCCGGTTTGAACCCGAATGCCAAGGTGTGGCAGGAGATGCCTGTGGCCCCCAGCGAAGCTGTTACCAACAGCCCCCACTGGCCCCCCGCCGACATCAGTGAGGGTGAGCGATACTTCCATCAGCCTGATTAAATGTCGGAACTGGGAGATATATGGACGGGGTGACGTCGCCCTGAAAACAGTATTTGTCCCTAATGGCGACAGTTTTTTTACCTTGTTCACAGGTTATTGTGAGCCTTCTACTGCTGGATGTAAGCAGTACTCTGTGGGGTTCACGACCCTGGATGACAGCAGCGCCACAGCAACAGCTGAGATAGCAGTTAATGGAATGGACCCTCCAGAGCAAAGCTTTTCCCCTGCCGAGTTAACCACGGAGACTTCAGGTCAGTCACTTGCAATCGTCTCCAAGCTCTTGACTGACTGTAACCAAGGATTCATCTTTTTTTTTTAAATTTGATTCGGTCTGATGGCAAAGTTTCAACCGCTTAAAGTTTGTGCGATTGTTGCCTTTCCACGTCGACAAGTCAGTCTGTAGATTTTCTGATCACCTCAGCAGGTGATTTTACTGAGTGCTTTTTTAAGATGGTCATTTCCCCCAAAATTAAATTTGTCTTTATTCCACGCTTCAACTGGCTGTTTGACCGCGCCCAACTCATGCCGTTATTTGCATTTCATTCACGATCTTTACATGTAAATCATGTGTTTGACTCTGTCTAAGCAGCAAACTGAATTAGTTTAAGATTGCTTGATACCATTGCCATAGTTAGACTTGTTTGAGGGCCTGACTTGGCATCACCTCTGGAAATGACAGCCCTGTCCATTATAAAAAAAATATATATATATAAATGTCTTTTTTAAGTTGCTGACATTTTGTTTTTGGTTCTCTGTAGATTCCAAAACTGAAGAGCAATCGAAGATCTCCTCTGATAATCTTCGGGAGTGTCTTAAGAAGGAGCTTGAGTTTTATTTTTCCAGGTAAGGGAAGAGTGCTCAAATCACCTTTTTATCCTTGTTTTTATCGTAGTATTTGAAAGCGTAGACTAAATCGCCATTGGCCCGTTGCTTTGTGTTTCAGAGAGAACCTCTCGAAGGATTTGTACCTGATGTCACAGATGGACAGTGACCAGTTTGTCCCTATTTGGACCATAGCCAGCATGGAGGGCATCAAGGTCCTCACCACTGACATGGACCTCATCTTGGATGTGTTGAGATGTAAGCTGAGACTTTAAGATGATGTATGCTCAAGCAAACTGCATATGCATGGGTCTAGATTTCAATGCCTTCAATTCCCTGCAGCCTCTCCTATGGTACAAGTGGATGAGAAGGGGGAGAAAGTTCGTCCTAATCACAAGCGGTGCATCATCATCCTGCGGGAGGTCCCTGAAACCACGCCTGTTGAGGTAAAGCCGACCTGTGTGTACACAGCCTGTCTCAGGAAGCATCGCTTCACACCGAGCATGTAGATGTTTACCTGTTCTTTGTATGTTATTTACAGGAAGTAGAGGCACTGTTCAAAAATGACAACTGTCCAAAGGTGATAAGTGTCGAGTTTGCACACAACAACAACTGGTACGTCACATTCCAATCCGACACTGATGCTCAACAGGTAACTCGCTTCAAACTTCTCTTTTCTCTTCACTGGCCGGAGTTTTTGGGTGGCATGAAGAATTGTCTCGTGATTCTCCCCTCTGCTCTTCTTAGGCATACAAGTATTTAAGAGAGGAAGTGAAAACATTTCAGGGAAAACCCATCATGGTGAGTTACATTTATAAAAAAAAAAGTTTATTTTCAGCTCAGCACTCACTGCGCTTGCCCTGGTTTTCCATGCGGACAGGCCAGGATAAAAGCCATCAACACATTCTTTGCAAAGAACGGCTACCGTAGCGTGGACAGCAGCATGTACGCTCAGCAGGCCCCGAGCCAGTCGCAGTACAGCTCTCCGCTCTACATGCAGCACGTCTACCCGCAGCAGCAGTACCCAGTTTACAGCATCGTACCTCCCACCTGGACGCCTTCGCCCACGCCGTATTTTGAAACCCCTCTGGTGAGACACACCTACTTGAAAACATTCCATGTGCCCTTGTTCACTTTGGTATTTATGCGTCATCGGCATTAAATGCTTAAAATGATAAACCTTGAACGCCAAAAGTCGGGTGTCCCGGGTAATTGTTTGCCGTCGTTGTTGAAACGTCTGAAGAGAAGTGCGTCATGGGTATTCAAATAAGACTTTTCTCTGTTGCAACCTGAGTCGTCACTTGACATTAAATGTATTTTTTAGTAACAGGGAGTTTACACTTGTAACAAATGGCAGCAACTGAATGAACAAACTATATGCGGTTTTGTTTTTATTCCCTTGTGCAGGCGCCGTTTCCCAACAGCAGCTTTATGAACGGATTTGGCTCTGCCGGACACTACAAAACTGGCTCTAGTTCTCTAAATATCACCCGCCCATTCAACAGAAACCGGTATGTACTTAGCACGAGCCCAAGAGCTACTCTCTTAGCTTTGGGTTAACCCGGCCCGTTTTTACCAAAAGCATGGTCCAATTGGAATATTTTACCAGTTGTCATTATTCGTTGCACAATGTTTAACCATGAACATCCGATCAGGGAATTGTTCTTCACTCCCTCTCTTCTTACTGTCCCCACAGTGTCCCCCTCTATTCAAGAAAGAATGTAATAAATGCCTTCAGGTACCACTGTTGTACTGTACAATAAGCTTCATCGCTTCCCTCATCTCCTACCATACACAGCGTGTGTTACATGCTATGACGGACACATCGCTGACAGGAGTTGAGTCTTGGTCAACGGCACACGCTTTGAATCACTCACAAACTGGTGACCGATCTGGTTCTGGAGTAAAAAACGGCATCACAAAGGAATCTCACTGGACTCTTCTCGTGTCACACCCGATGATGAGATCAATATGCGCATAGAGGGGAAACCAGGGAGTGGAGTAACTGCCTTTGGTTCGCTCTTTCTCCGCTTCATTTCTTCTTCTTTGTCCCTCTACCCCCCCACCCCCTCCCTCCAAAGTCGGGAGCTTCACTCCTGTCCCGATGAGCGTTCAGATTATGAGATCTGAGGGTCAAAGACTCGTGAGAAGTACAGTCCATGTGAATCCCGTCATGTCTCCAAACAATATCCGTCCCAAAGCATTATTTATGCTGCAATCAGACAGGGTAGGTGGGTTCGGGTTACACGGGCGTAGCCCGCTCTCGATGGGTGTAGGATTTGTTTGCACACATTCATTATGTCACCATCAAAGTGTCCACAGCTTCGATCCCCTCGCATGCATGCGTACACGAGCCCCCTCCCGCCCCTCCAAAGACACCGCATGTTGTTTCATTCCTCCGGCACGCTGTGAACACCAGTGTTTACGTTGAAGTCCATGAAATGTTTCAGCGTCCGTTATATCAAGCTGTCGATCGACACGCAGCATGTGGCCCTTTCTTGGTATAGTTGGCCTACGGGCGCTCTAATGTTTGTATGCGTATCGGTTACACTTTGAACACCCTGGTTGCTAACTGGGATGGAAACACTGGTTACCAGTGTGCCTCTAGAATACTTTCAATTTATGTGGACCCTGATCACCCCCCCCCCCTTTCTTTTTTCTTTCTCTCTGCAACAGAAACCACGTGAAGCCGCAGGTGAGGACGGGCGAGGTGACCTCGGCGTCTCTAACTCCCGTCCCCTTGGAGAGTTTGACTGGACTGCGCAGTCCGCAGCCCGCCGCTCCCGTCGCCCCTGTCCAGACAGCATCTGACCTGAATTCAGCCTTTTCACACCTCTCCTGCTCCGCCGATCCCAGTGATGACGGCGGCGTGGCCGGACGTGGAAGGTAAAGCTATTTGACCCGAATCTTAATGGCTGCAGTGACAGACTTGCCGCCGAATAGCTGTTGACGAATCACTTATTTGCATTTTAGACGGAGCACAACCTACAGAGGAACACGGAGGAGGCGAGAAGACGAAAGGATTGCTGTAAATACCAATTTTCATGTTTTTTTTTAAACAAAAGATTGTTTGCCTTTTAAGCCACGAACCTGCTTGTGAACTATCCGCTTGTTGGCTCCATTTTCTCAGCGGCCATTTCCGTTGGCAGAGGTCAAAGTTTCTCCACCCAAGTTTGACTTGGCTGCTACCAACTTCCCACCTCTTCCCGGCTGCGTGGTCAGTACACAGGGAGAGCCAGTGCTGGAAAACCGAATGTCCGATGTTGTTCGCGGTCTGTACAAGGACAAGGTAGAAAGACGTCTAGTTTGAGTTGTTTTCAAATCTCCTCGATAAACTGCATTGAGGAGCGGGTGCTTCATAGGTCTAATCTGCACGCCTCCTTTTCTAGACGGAACCAGCCAACAAAGAAGCCACCGTGAGTCCAGGTTCAGGGCCACCTCCAGTCGCAGAGGAGGCTGTAGTTATAACGAGTCGCACCCCGGCGGCACTGAAATCTGCTCCGCAGCCAGCCGCACCATCAGCTACTGGGTATGACGATTTGCCATTTCCATCAAGGATATTTGGTGCCTCAGTCTTTAACACTAACTTGAATGTATGAAACTCTCGTTCTGACAGTATTGCTCGCCAGGAGAGGAGAGTTGAACGGGCGGAGCCTGCAGCTCCTAAAGCTGCTCCACGCACACCTCTTCAGACCGCCGTGGTGCCATCCCCCACCACGCAACCTGTGCCTAGCTCCAGGCCTCCGCCCTCTGCCGCCGCCGTTGCTGCAACAACTGTTGCTGTTGCTACAGCCGCTGCTGCTGTGGCTCCTTCTCCTGCCGCCTCCACGCCCGCAACTCCTGCCGCGCCGGCTCCTGCTGCGGCCGCTGCCCCCGCCCCTGCACAGGTGAGGATGTTATTTGTAGTCACAGCCTGCCCCTCGAGCACAGTTGTCTCCCGATGATGAGATCTTTTGCGCATAGAGGGAAGTGAGGTAGTGGACTGACTGGCTTTGGTTTTTCCCTCCTCTCTACCTGTCTCTCCTCTTCAGTGTCTGTCTATTATCTATCTCTGCTCTTTACCACCAAATGCCCAGGACGTTTGCTCCTACCCCAATGAGCGTTCAGATTATGAGATCTGAGGGAAATTAATGTAAAAATGTCTGTTCTACATTTATTTTAAAATATATTTATTTACATAAATATGTATATTGTGCCTTCTCCCCGCCGCAATTCAGGAACCACGCAAGCTCAGCTATGCTGAAGTGTGCCAACGGCCACCTAAGGACCCTCCGCCTGCGGCCCCGGCCCCCACTTCCACGAGTCCCGCGCCGGGCCAGCCGCTACGTGAGTTGCGCGCGAATAAGGCCGAGGAGCCGGGCTCCAGCGCTGCTTCTGGAGACAAGCAGGAGAAGGCCCATGACAGGGAGGGGGGTTGGGAATACAAGGAGAGCCGACCGGCACGCGAACGTGACTCTCAAGGCTACTACCGCAGCAACGGCCCGAGAGGGAACGGGGGCCTCAAGTTCCGTGACCAGAGGCGCCCGCCTCCGGCCCGACGCAGCTCCCCGCAGGGGGGCTACAGGCACACTGGCAAAGAGCAGAATATTCCACCAGTATCGCCAAAGTAAAAAAAAACTTTATATGAATGGAGGAGGAAAAAAAAGATGTACGAGTATATACATGGATATATATATAATTATATAAAAATGAATAACATAAAAGCAACAACATTATGGTAGCCGCCTTTCCTCCCCACTGGGACGTGTCCAAAGAAAAAGCTTTTCTAAATGACAATGAGACCGGGACATCCTGGACAAATGGGAAAATTGACACCTGAAGAACTTTAATGAGTGAAAAGGAAACATTTTGTTTTTTGCTTCCAGCATAATGCGTAAAAGAATTGAAGCGTGATTCATCTAGAGGCGGTCTCATCTTTGCTCGGCTAGTGAGAGGTGGGATGCTGGGCCGCGTACTCGGCCCGCTACCCTTTTTTCTTTTCTTTTTAAGATGTCTGCAAGAACATTATGCACTAAAAAGAAAATAACATGCATATATGTCATGTACATATACAAAGATATCACTAACACGCAATGAGACATCAGGTTTTTTTTTTCTTGTGTGCTTAAGGTTTGCAAGTATGACTGACGGGTTGAGTGATGTCGGTGGATGCATTTATTGTTTAGCAACCTGATTGAAGTGCTACAGTGTGCTGTTGCATTGATGTAATGAAATGGATGATGATTTTTTTAAATTTCATTTCAACAGCAGAGACTCTGAACCGTTGTCCTGAGACCGGACAGTGTGGTCCTCTAATGTATATTAATGAAATGTGTTCTATGTCGGTATTTTCATTCTCGTTATCGGCTCAAATTTGATCAAGTTTCAGAAACTGCTGATGTACGCTGCAGTCACATGCGTGATTCTGTTTGAGCCTGAATTCCACTTTGGGTCGCCCACTGGCCTGTTTAGCCACAGAAAACCCGCTAGCATTTCATGTTGCGTTCAATCTCCTTTTTTGTTTTTTGCCTGAACCGACTCAGCGCTAACCACTGATGGCTTCAGGACATTTTCATGTTTATCAGTCAGGTTCTCTGTTTACAGGTTTTTGATTTGGTTGAGGAGTGACCTTTTCCAAGAGGGGAAGAACAAATAATTGAATTAATAACATTTGACTGTTCAGTGCACCTGGTAGTTTAGGTGAGGATTGGATTTTCTACTTCACAGGATATCCAGGTTAAGCGTATCTGTGAACTCTTAATGATGGCATAGTGTCCAAACAAATAGACTGAGGCGTCCTTTAGCCGAGAGCGATTAATGACATTTGGCAGCCACGTTGTTGGCATAAAGAAGATTGGAACATTTCTGCGTCTTATGTGCCAGCTGCCTATGATCATAGTGTGCTAGAATAAAGTTTTGATTTCTATTGACAAGGTCCGCTCAGTAATTTACTCTTGGGGAAACTTTTGGCCCAGTGAAACTGGATTTTGAAAGGCGCTTTAGGTGTAGTTGCCTTTGCTATTTTGTGAAACCCTTCACTAGAAAATGTGTGTGGGAGAATGTAATTGTTCTAGAACTGAATTTACGGAGGAAGGTGTTGGACAGCAGGTATCCACCAGATTGTTTTGTGCTTTTAGGGTGAGTTTTTTTTTTTTTGTGTGTGAGAAAAACAGGATTTAGGATTTGACGTTTGCCTCGCTATGTATTACTTTTAAAATGTATTTATTTAAATTCTGATGCACGCTTTTCTCCCAATCTTGGTAGGCTGGTTTCCCCAAAGTTGTGTGAAATCGCATTGGCAAAATAAAATCACGCACAGGACATTTCTAAACTGTCAGCTGAGCGAAAATACTTAATGCATTGACTTTGGGTTTAGCAATGCCGTTAAATGAGTAAACAATCACTTCTGGGGCTGCTAATTCTTCATTGAGTATGAGCCGCTAGTTATTTAGAATAATTAAATAAATGCGCTAACTAAGAATTTTACTCATGATTAAAGTGAAATCATGTTCCATAATGGTTAATGGTAACAGGCTTGCAAATACCTCCAGCAGCCCCCTCCCCCCTTCATATGTTTGGCTCATTTTCTATTAATTTGGGTTGGGGTGGCAAAAGGAAATATAGTAATGGATTAACAAAGTGTTTGAGACACAATCCTAGAACTGTATGAACTGTCACCAAAAATAAATTATTTTGATTTGGCTTTCCAGTGTCACACTTCTTTCTCTGGTTTTGTACTCATTAGTTTGTTTCAGGCCTTTCAGTTGTAAAGAGGTCTTCACCGCGTTGTTTCTCCCTTCTTTTTTTTTTTAAAGTCTTGCCAGCTGCCCGCTGTCTGCATCTATGCTTCTTGTGTTTGCACGGTAATGAGGCAAGTGAGACCAACAGGACTTCATTCAATAATGGATTCACTTAATTTAATAAAGCATATATTCACATATGGTAAATTGCGCTCCTTATGAGTGGGGTTTTCTATGTGTGTCAATAGAACATTTATATACTGTTTATAGCCTGTGTGCTTGTGGCCCCCAGAGACCTTCCATATTTGTTTTTAGTCCCTTGTTCCACTGTACCTTAACAAGGTCACGAATAGAGACATTCAGGCCGGACCTTTGGGTGCCAGCTGCGGGGCGTCACACGAGTCTATTTGGGGAAAGGATCTGCTGTCGGTTGACACGCCCCCTTGTCAGCAGACATCTTAATCTCTCGGAATTCAAAGAAAATGAGAGATTATCTGAAGTTATCGCTGCGTAAATTGACAGTTGGTCATTAAATGCTCCGATACGGGTTCTCCCCTTACAAAGCATGTAACGTTACGTTTTGCCGGTTGTAAAAGTCTCCTGCAAGTTTGTGGTTCTGGTCTGTACAGAATGTTTACGTGCTGGAGGCGGAGGGCGCGGCCGCGGGCGCTGACGTGTTGTGTTTAGGTCGAGGCGAGCAGCTAAATGTCTCCTGCAAACTGAGGACCAGAACAGGTACGTTGTGCAATTATCCTCGTGTATCTGTAGATGGTTGATACAAAGACTACACGAACGCTCTTTCGCAAGTGTTTGCAGTGAGTGTCACTCGATTCTTTTCGCCGAGAGGGTCGATTGTTCCTCGCATATCGAAGCTAACATTAGCGTTAGCTCGCTGGCTAGCTAACTTGGGTGCTAGCAGCCGGTGGAAATATTGCAGAGAACTTTCGTTAAAACCTCTACACCAACTTGTTAGCGTCACACACACTCTTTGATTCGCCCAACACAGGTAATCTGTACATTTGTATATATGCCACTTTGTGCAAAACTTGTATAATTGTTGTTTCTTCTCGTTTGGTTGTAGAGTCTGTTCTTGTCAAGTGAGCTAAAGCTAACTGACAGTCATGTTACGTTAGTTACAAACGTCTCCATTTCCACCCAATAGTGAAATTAGTTAAATTGCCAAACGTGTGTGCTTTGTCTTGTTTTCAAAATATGTCAATCGTAATTGCCGTCATTCAAGAAACAAGAATTATTTTATTTTTTAATATTGTCTTCATACAATTGGCTGGAATTAATGATGCTAGGACCCAGTTATGTAGTGTCAATCTTATTTTTCATGAAATTAACGACCGCATATACATATTGTAACAACCCCATGACACACATCTCCATGGGGAAAGTCATAGCCCAAAAAAAAGAAGAATTTTGAATGTGATGTTTTGCTGTGGGAAGGCCCAGACATCTCCATTGAGTATTTTTCTTTTAACCTCAATTTCTTTTACAAATGTGTTTTTTAGTGTTGCCACGGCCTAGGTGCCATGGTCCTCCGTTACCCATGAGCTCTACTATGTGGTACATCATGCAGAGCATTCAAAGTAAATACTCCTTGTCCGAGCGGCTCATCCGTACCATCGCAGCCATTCGCTCGTTCCCACACGACAATGTGGAGGACCTCATTCGTAAGGTAGGCCTCGTCTTCTCGTCCAGCTTCAAATAAATAATATACTTTAGTGTTGTACTGACATATATTTTACCGCCATGTGCCCTAAGGGAGCTGATGTGAACCGGATGCATGGCACGCTGAAGCCCCTCCACTGTGCCTGTATGGTGGCTGACGCTGACTGTGTAGAGCTGCTGCTGGAGAAAGGTGCCGAGGTACGACTCTACATAGTACATACATACACACACTACATTGCAGCATATAATAGTTGCCTTTTGGAATTTTCTGTTTCTTATTTGTAATGAGCTGAAAGTTCAAGTGGTGGAGGGGAAGTTCAATTTTATAAAAACCTCTCATCCATATGACCAAAGATACAGCGGGGCTCTGTCATTTTTTTTGTTGCTGCAACAGTTTGCTAATTTTCTGTGCCTGAATCTGTTCTTTAATGTGCTCAACTACCACACTGACCTATATTGAACTTCAGCAAACTCTTTGTACTGTGTGCCAATGCACATACTTGGACCGAGACATTAGGTGCACAGTTCATGTACCTAACGCACAACTCCTTGTACCGTGTCTCCTGTGTCACAGTGCTGGCACTACTGAAAAGTGGCCCATGCTTTTATTAACGCATTTGCCGAAAATGTCTCTTTTCATTACCTTTCTTTATCAGGTGAATGCTCTGGATGGATATAACCGAACCGCGCTGCACTACGCGGCAGAGAAGGACGAGAGCTGCGTGGAGCTGCTGCTGGAGTACGGAGCCCACCCGAACGCCCTAGACGGCAACAAGGACACGCCGCTTCACTGGGCCGCCTTTAAAGACAACCCGGAGTGTGTGAGGGCCCTGCTAGAGAGCGGGGCCTGTCCCAATGCGAGGGACTACAACAGTGACACGCCTTTGAGCTGGGCGGCAATGAAGGGCAACCTGGAGAGCGTCAAAGTGCTACTAGACTACGGAGCCCAGGTCCACGTGACCAACCTGAAGGGCCAGACCCCCATCTCCCGGCTGGTTGCCCTGTTGGCCCGGGGGCTGGGCACTGAACAAGAGGAGGAGTGCTTGGACCTGCTGTGCCGGGCGGCGGGGCGGTTTGAGATCCGACGGGCCGACGGCACCCTTCCCAGGGAGCTGAGTAAGGATCCCCAGCTGCTGGCGAGGCTGACCAACATGGTGGCTCAGGCTCCCACGCTTCGCTCCCTGGCACGCTGTGCTGTCCGCCAGAGTCTTGGGGTCCAGTTCCTTCCCACCGCCGTAAAGGAGCTTCCTTTACCAGAGACCATCAAAGACTATTTACTGCTGAGAGACTGAGGGGATTAAACCATTGGGGAGCTCTGAGATCTCACGGAGTTCATCGTACTTCATTTATTGGCAAGGAAATGTCGCTTTGAAATATTGTATATTTTCTGACAGCCCTCATTTACCTATCCTGGCAAATGGGTACAGAGTTATGCCCCGTAAGACATTTAGCCTCTCCAAATCCCCTTTTTTTTTTTCTTTTTTTTTTTTTGTTAAGTTAGTGGTTGAACAACATCTGACTGAGTGGTGCTGATTGGTAAGCCTGATCAGTTCCAGTTGATTTTTTTTTTTTTTTTTTTTTAATCAAAAAATGTACGCACATTTTGGAAGCTCGCCTGTTTCAGTCTTTTCACGGCTCAGTCAGGACAGAAAGGAACTATAACGACGGGGTTGTTGTTTTGAGTAGGCTTATACTTTTATTTGGCTAAATGTACATTAAGTATTTTACATTTTAATGCTTAAATGTAGTTAATTATGGTTTTGTCACAGAGCATGAGGAAAGTCTTAAATGTAGAGTTTGATGGTATAATTAGTCTATCCTCGTGGCGAGATTAGGTTTAAATGTATAATAGATTTGCTAAATAGCAACTAATGTCTAATGATGCAGGCTTTTCAGAAATTCTGTCAAGATGATGCAGTTCCTGATGTATCGCTCAGGAACGAATGTTTTGTCACTTTGGCAGTTACGAGGAGAAAAAAAAATACCGAAAGGTTGTGCCAAACGGGAACAGTTTTTAATTTGGTACCGTTTATGTAGGAGGAACAATGTTTCATACTGTTCATTGGTCTCATGAAATGTACCAGGCAGACTAATCTTCATCGAGCCCTCTGAAAATGTTCCTCTGTTGATAAATGTTATGTCAACAGGCCTGCTGATACATGTGATTTGCTATTTATTTGGACTTTATTTTAATCAAGGTCATCCTTGCCAAGGAGGAATAAGTGTTCTTATTTCTCTCCAACTGATGTTTTAAGTCTTTAGTGAAGTTTGGGTTTTGCTTCCAGTTCTAAAATTTACTGCATATGATAAAAAAAGACTTTTACGTAGAAATTAAATGTTTAAATGTAAAAACATGAAATGGCATGATTACAGTTTTTCTCTTGAAATATTCACTAAATTTGATTGCAAACTGAGTTTTATGTTTGTCATGCCATCCGTCGGAAATCTGATCATCTCTGTAACTGGTTTTGTCTTCTGCCCCTAAACCCCTAAAGTAACGTCTTGTGTACACCTTCAGAAGTGCTTTGTTTTTTCTTTGTTAATGGAATTAAATGCCATTTCTATTCTTTTTTTCTTCTCTATGGTTCTTTTAAACAACTTCTAGTTAAAATATTTTGTAAAAGGAACTTTATTGTACATTTAATTCTGATGAAACACTGCTCCGAAAGCTCAGCTGTAGTTTGCTAAAAACTTAACTGAGAACCTCTGCTGTGTCAATTTCATATTATTGTCTCCAATCAGATTGAGGTTTTATTTGCGTTGTCCTTTTTGACAGCAGACGTTTTGAATGCAGCAGGTGTCACTGAGGACAGAAACAATGGCTGCATTAAATGAATGTGTCCCAAAAAGAAAGTGACTGTGTTGGTGAACCAAACAAACATTAGGACCGGAAAACCAAACTTAAATGTAATTCAGTCATCAGGAACGGTGCTATTTCCCCTTGTGTAGTCTCTCCATTGAAAAGCAAGCTAGTGAATGATGCCAAATGCTGCAGTTTTCATTCCCCTGGGAGGAACATCGCAGTAATGTGTTGAGGTCAATCTCAGTCTTACTTAATGACATGCCCACTTCTGCTTTCTCACTTAAGATAAACTCATTTTTGCATCCAAATGCAGAAGTAATGTACATCATAATATTTAAAGTGATAAAAATGCTAGGTTTTACATCAAATTACGACTCCTCCGTTAATGATTAGTTTTAAACAGAGCTGTAATCACTTAGTGGCTGTACAGTATAAAAATAACTTTACTACACTCACTTACCCAAATCCCTGTCGTTATCGTTTGTGGGCCAGGTAAGCTCGCTGTTTCTAAGGTATATTTTATACTGTATAATGTATCAACAGCTATAGCTGTATTTGCTTTGTAGAAAAACTGTGGTGACTTAGCAAAACCTAACATTGATACTGTGCACCGTCAGTTCTAAAATCATCCACTGGGAGTCTCCCTGTCTCTGAACTCACATTTATTGTCTTCTGAAAGCATCTCATTGTGTAATTTGAAAATTGGAGAAAAATTGTTACGTAACACTTCCTGCACATTACATCAGACGGCTCGACTTTGTAATGGATTTTTTTCAAACTGATTTGGTGCAGTCACAAGTTCAACCCTTTGCAGCATATTTTCAAAATTGTGTTGGCCTATTGTTATAGGCTTTTACCGCATGCTGCCTTTTATTACCACAATCAGGACGTCCACTTCCAAGGAGAACGAATAGGTGAGAATATCCGGAAGGAACACACAATAAGAGAGGAAAAGACTTGTAGTTTAAGATATTGGTTTTCTTCATGTGATTGTGACACATAACAGCAAACAAAACATGTATTTTGTTAAAGAAAAATGATTTCATCAAACATTTTGACCTTGTAACAATAGCGTAGCCTATAATATAAGTATAGCTTAAGCATCTTTTTGGGGTCTGATGAGAAACTCACCCAAGACAACCCAAGCTTTTAATTAGCTTCATAAGAAAAGGTGGATTATTAATTTTCAAGATCTTAATCAAAGACTACATCCTTATATGCCCTCACCTGCTTTAGAGACACACATGTTATCAGTCAAACTACAAAAACACTCCCAATTCAATTTTGTAAGTGTCAACTTACTTGCTAGGGGAGCTTATTCGATCATATAGACAAAATACTGAATAATTAGGTGTAAATTGTAATTAAAATGTATAAAGGGCTTTTTGAAAGACTGCTATTTCGATAATTGTAATATAGCATGAAATGCCTTGTTTTTTTATTTTATACTGGACTGTTTTGCCAAAACATCAACAAACAACAACAAGCGACTACTGCTGCTATGATTTAAGCTACAGCACCAACGATTTTTGCATTGCCCACATAGAAAGCCCTATAATTGAAAATTCAGTTCATTTTGATCAATATAATGATGATAATGACATGTCATGTCACATATACATGTGAAATGAGTCAAAGCTCCGGGAGACCTGTCCTGTAAAACCCGAAGCTCTGTCCTCCCAGGGTCCATTTCTTAACATATGGCTGCGAGAACTGAGCTGAGTTCTCGCGATGTCTTGACGTCGAGGGGAGTGTCAAATTCCAAGAGGAGAGGAGAGGGGAGCCACAGAGAGGGGCGCAAGGGTGAGTTTGTAAACACTTTATTACCTTTAAATTCGGCATAGATACGTTGACTATACTTTGATGTGGCAAAGTAGCGCTCGCTGTGCCCTTTTCCGTGTCTGTAACGGCCGGAACTACACGCATATGTGATTGCCGAAACTGTTGCGGCTCCAGCGCTTCATTCGGACCCAGTGTCTTGCCTTGCACTCAAGTGTCAGTCCGCTAACTCAACCTAACTAATTTAGTTTTTGTGAATTTGACTGTTGACGCCTCCAAAACAACGTTACAGTGGCTCCCTGCTGAAATGACCCTAATAGTGTTCATGTGTGTTCGTTGTCATGGTTGAAAGTGGTAGTAGCGCTGGTATTACACGTTCTTAATGTGCCTTCGGCCTGTTGTTAACGTTAGCCACACCAGCTAGCCATTAGTTTTTCGTGGAGACTAAAAGTTGATTTCGGGATTTTAACCAATGAGATTCGGCTCGCTGCTGTTATTGACAGCGTCCTGAGCGTCGCATACGTTAGATACCGTTGACTGACGTGCGTCCAGCCAACCGCTGAGGAGAGAAGGCGGTCCTGTTACGGGAAAAGGCGGGGCCAAGTGTGCCCGTATGTCGCCAGACGGTTAATGAAGGCTGAGAAAGAGAAACTTTTTTTTCAGGGCAGTCAGCGTTGTATGGAAAAAGGAACTGCTTTTTAGAACTTTTTGGAATTTCTTTGCGACATTTTTTTTTGTGGCTGAAACCAAACGAAGAACATTTGACTGTCTGTTTTTTGGCGGTTGAATAAAGTGTGTTGATAATCTGGGCCCAGGCATAGAAGAGCCATTAAAGAAACGAAAGTGTCCAATGTTAGTAATACTAATATGCATAGTATCGCAATTTGAGCTGTTGAACGCCGCAGGATCAGCATCCCAACACTTTCATTAGGAATGTAGGACGTGTTTTTGGCAGAGTTGTACCTCATTCCATCACATTGAGTTACAGTTACAGAGAAAACTGCAGCCTTGTTTTGTCCCACCAAGCATTTAACCCACTCTGAGTAATTATACAAGTTTGAATTGTTATGCAACGGTATCCCTTTATTACACATATGGTGAGTAGATTTACGGTTTGGAAATATCTGTATAGATGCAATGTGTGCCTCCGGCTGAGATGCCCGTCATTTGAAATGTGTCCATTATAGTGTTGGTTTGTTAACTCAGTATTATATTTAGCATGTTATAGAGGACTAAGCATGAAGTATTTAGTCAAATGAATGTCCCGCCGGAGACTGAGCAGACAAATATCAAGTGACAAGGTATTTTTTCTTTTGAATTAAAGCCAAAACCTCTTGGCAAATATTTATAAAAGTTGCAGATGCGGAATCATTTCAGCACAGTATTTTCAATTTAATTTTAGAAACCAGCTCCGCTTGGACCATCATAAATTTTCCTGCATTGTCTGCTTGCTCTGCATGGATTTGTTAGTCACGCAGACAAAGATATATAATTACATTTGTTCCGCTTACCAATTCTCTGGTCTGCTTTTCCTACATTGATAAATATTGGCTGTTATCCACATCGACCTACAGCCTCGATCTCTCCGGTCACCGAAGCTCACAGCCCACATTTAAAGGACCTCACCTGTGATCCAGCAAATATCCACAATCCTTCATTTCATCAATAAACGGACGATTTAGCTATTTCACCCTTTTCCTCTCCACCTCCCCCCTGCTTCACGTTCATTTTTCTTTTTTTTTTGTCGGGTCTCCCCAACCCGTTGGGCAATTCAAGCCTCAGGTTCCAAAGTTATGGCTGCAGTGCGAGCTATTAATACGGTTTGTTTGGTCAGTCTCCTAGCAGGCGGCATCAAACACTAGATGGCTGTGGCTGATTATAGCTGCAACTCATTCCCCGACACCTGCTGAGTCGGAGAAATCCAAGTTAACGGTGGCACTTTGGTAGCAGTTCACTGAGAGGGGGACAGGAATCAGGGCACCCTGACTGCTCGCATGCCACCTTGGATGAAAGGACGCAAAATAGGTGAACTCAATATCCATGCCTGTAATGAATATCAATGATGTGCATCACTAACGGAACTAGCAGCCAGATTTGTTGTCTCACACACAGATGAAGCTGTGCTTTAACAAGTGTAGCAAAACCTACGCCGTTCACTCATTAATTACCTTCAGATTTTATTCCCAGTGAGACTACCGACAGTCAAAGAAGTAAATTACTTGCAAAATTTCTTTCGGACTTTAGCTGAGGATTACACATAGTGCTTCAGTTTTTGAAGTATTTATTCAAGAGAGATGGACTTACTAAGAAGCCGTGCAACAGACTGAGAAAGAAAAGATGTACATCTGCTTTAATCAGGTTAAGAGATCGTTTGGAGCAGCTATGAAAACAAATTGCATTTTCCAACCGTCGTCTGAAATACACGGTGGACTCCCCACAAAATCAAATCTCACTTTTCTTCTTGGTGCCAGCCGGCCAAGTTAATGTCTACCATGTCGTTAGTAAGATGTAAACTCCGAAATGTGTTCCCCCTCCTCACGCCAGATGTGTCCATTTCCCCACGCAGTCCACACCCTCGGTATAACGAGGTAGACGGAGCATCGCGTTTGCAGACACGTCTCTGCCCAAATAGACTCAGCGGACTGGGAACAGTTTGTGAGTGTCCTGGCACCAACCTGTTGCCTTTCTCCAGAGCACGGGATGTCTGGAAGAAATCAGACAGCTCTTCGTTATCGGCCACCTGATCTGCACAGAGAGCGAACGGGGGCCTTTTCCCTGCAGACCCGACGCATGCCCCTTCCCTTGGTGAAAGGCATCGAACGGAGAGACACAACGGTGAGGCCTGTTGCTGGCCTGGCGTCATGGGAGAGCGTTGTGTTTCAGTGCACGGCTTCAGTAATCATGTGTTGGCTCAGGGGCAGCTGTCCTCGGCAAAGGGGGGAAATAGAGGGAGGAAGGAGGAAAATGTACTGACTTCAACACTGGGAAAACTTTCAGACATTTATGCCTCGCCAACATAATGAATAATCTGTCCCGCTCAATAATGTGAGGCTCCATCTGTGTTGTAGGTACAACATGGTTTCACAAGTCCGTTATGTTAGACTACTGAACATGTGACGTTCCTTTCCAGTTTGTGGAATAGCCCTACGTATGATATTTAATTACGCTCAGGCCGGTTTAATGAACACGATTAAACAAGTCCCACTCATTAGCTAATGAATGTGTTTCCGCAAAAGCATCTCCTGTTTATTGAAAGGTTTCCACGTGTACGGAAAGCGCTGTGTAAAAGCCGCCACTTGGGGCCGCTTGTCCACCCCATCGCCATCCTCCATTCCCCGATAGAGATTCAACGAGCAAGTTAGTTTTGTAAATGTCAGTTTGTCCTCACATGGAGTGTCGTTCAGGGTGCTTTGGTGAAGTTATGTTGCGATGGCAGGTGTGTGTGTGTGTGTGTGTGTAGCGTTAATCTCCTCTGTGGAGAGAGCTGAAGCCTCCCACAGCTTTAGTTTATGTCCCTTCAGCTGCAGACACAACAGGAGAAGAAACCAAACATCAGTATGTGCATATTTGCCTCTTGACATTAGCATTACCCAGTGAGAGAGGGATGTGGTATTTGGTTTTTAGTCCTGAGGAAAGTTTCAGAAGTGCATTCAAATTCCCAACAATGCTAATGCTAACGCCTGTGCATCTGTTAATGCAGTGTCAACTAATGTTAGTTTTGGGGTTGGAAGATTAAGTTCATTCATCAATGTAAGAAATCATGTACAGTCCAACATGTCCTCTCAAAGACGTTTTAACAGTAAAGCAGTTGTAAATCTGCTATACTGAAAGTGATCATACTGAAATGAATAAGGACAAATCAGAAGTGAAACAACATGTAAAGTGAAACATTTTAGGGTTAAATATGACAATATATTATTTACAAAGTTTAAGTTCATACTGTCCAGCGGCGTAGTTATACACTGTTTTTGTTCATTCCTATTAGCTATTAAATGTAGATTGTAATTCATCCTGGCAACCAGCTGGCTAACTAATAGTAAATAATGGAAATAGTTAAAAGGTTTCCTAGACTGAACACGAATACATCCCTCTCTAATAATATCAGTTCTCCGTTGTGAACTTACAGTGAAGACTTTATTAACTATTATTTGACCACAGAGCGAAACCGCTGATTGACAGACAGCTTGAATCAGGGCAGCAGGAAGGTTAAAGGTTGGGAGGCGCTAGACAGGTGAGGAGAGGGAGGGGCGATGGGAGGGGGAGGGATTGGAAACGAGGGAGAATGAGACAGGAGGGGAGGGAGGGGTCTTGGTGTGAACGGTAGCTGTTGCGCTCTCTCGCTCTCTCTGGTGTGTGTGTGTGTGTAGGTGTGTGTGTGTGTGTGTGAGAGCGAGCGAGAGAGCGAGTGAGCCGCTTTTCATTCGCCAACCAGAAGCCCCCCCTGTGTGAAGGAAGTATCACCAGGGAAACTTGGTCTTGCTGCCTCTGTGCATGTTTTCCTCCTCGCCGGGGTTATTTTTAAATAGCGTTCTGCTTCCTGCTCAGACTAAAGACTACGGGCATCGGCATCCACGTTTCTTGTTGTTTTCAGGATTCACCACTTCACGGCTCAAGAAAAAGCACCAGCAATGTTCTCCTCTTCTCCCTTCCCGCAGTTACACTGCAAGCTCTTTGCAAGAATGGGGGACGACCGACCTTTTGTGTGCAGCGCTCCCGGCTGTGGACAGGTAAGTCTGATCCATGTGTGTGCTGATGTGTGATATGTAAGTACTTTCCAGCAGTTTTATTGTAACTCATCATAATGCAATAATGCAATACTCTAAATGTATCACTTGAAAAGACACTGCCTAAGATTCAAACCCTGCATATACAATAGCTAAAAAACGAACTAAAAAACTAAAAATAGCATTCTAACAAGCGGGCTGTCTCTTGAGACGCCGTCGTCTCCTTCGCCGGTGACTCAGTGGAAGCGCCAGTGAGTAATCAGTTATCGCTTCAACCTGTCACTGTTGACTTCTAGCGCCTGCAGACAACCGCTTTCTGCCCTGGCAGTGACTCAGCTGGGTGCCAGCTGTGCTCTCACACGCCAGTAACGTGGTGCATGGTCGGAGCCCGGCCCAAATATCTCGGCAGATCAAATGAAAAAAGAGTTTGTTTTAGGACCCATGATTATTCAGCAAAGGACTCGTCATGTCTCGTGTGCTGAATCAGACGTCCGGTCCTGTGCTTAGTTGGGTGTGATATCCTCAGAGCTCGTGCTGGAGGATCTCTCGCGGGTATTGGGGGAAGAAAGTGTTTCATGTGGTTTATAAACACTTGTGTTTCATAAGCCTTCCTCCATTTCTCTGATCAGAAGCGATGTGTTGCACATGGGATTTGCGGTACGAACAGCACATGTGTAAAGCATGCGTGTGTCGGATGAATAGCTGTAATTTGTTTGGTCATTTTCATCTCACAACATTATAGATTCCGTTGACATGTTTATGTGATGCAAAGTCTCTGCATATGTCATTGTCAGATATCATTAGTTGGCAGTAAGAACAACAGAATGACACAGGAGCTTGTGGAGCGACGTTGATGAACGTGCAGGTCTCTCGCTGAGGCACAAATGTCACAACGGTCTGGTCGGCAAACAGTTGCCTGTTTGCACAGAGCAACATCATCGTTCATCAAATCTAGGATTCACTCTCTTTTGGACTCTCCAGGGTGAAACATCTGACTGTGAAGGTGCTAAATGCAACACTATGTCAATGAGCTAACAGCACTCGCAAACTGCGGGTGTGTGTTTGCGTGTCTTTGTGCGTTCAGTTGTTGGGCAGGTAGCGCACACTTTGTTTTGCTGAAAGCAAAGTGGACGTGGGGTCGCAGTGGGACAAGACATTTAACAACACACCCCAGAGCTCCGGACCAACTTTTGCAGTTGGTTGCACCAGAAGCACCACTGGAGTCTCTCATTTGACTGGCTCTTTTCTTTTTGATAGAGCGCGGTATCAATCAATGACAGCTACAGGTTCTTTTAGCCATTGTGGTTGAAAGTGGTACTTTGTGGTTCTTTTTTGCTTAATAGAGAGTTCTACCCCCCCCTCTCTGTCTCTCTCTCTGTCTCTTTCCCCCTCTCTCTCTTGCATCCGGGGTCAAACATTCATTTAGATCCATTGATAAATGATATTGATCAGTGCAGCTTTAAATATTGTCTAGATCGAAGCTATCAAACAAAAAAAATATGATTATATAAGTAGTAAAGTAACTCTACAAAATGATCCAGGCTGAGACATGTGCTGCATTTCTATCCATGTTTATTTGTGTACATTAAGACACACACACCTTATGCCCGAATGCCGTTTCCCTCCTGCCCTTTACGAGCAACAGTTGTCTACCAGGAAAGTCTGAATCATGCCCGTAATAGAACACGGAGGATTGGCTGCTGGCTTTGCTCAGGGTTTTCCTTTTTACCAAGTTAACAACAACAATAATAAAATCCACCCATTTTTAGAATCTGATACCCAGCATCTACTTTGTGGGTAGGGGAAATCCAGCCTGCCAGTATCTCCTACAGGGGGGATTAAGTTGGAGATAGTTTCCCCTGCAAGATCCAGCCGCCTGGTTCAGAGGAAAGAGACAAATGTGTTGTATTGGTGAGGCTAAAAATAAGCCCCCTGACACTTGACTGTGTTTCCACTTCACTCTCTCACGTATGAACTCGCAACTGCAACGCAACTCCCGAAATAGGCAGCGGCGCATGGTGAATAGGCTGGTACCCGAGCCAAGAGGATTCCTCCCACGTCCGTGACTTGAGTCTCCAAAGGAGAGGTGGCGCATCTGAGACGAGTGGACGTAGGCTCCCGGAGGTCTGCATAAGTGCCAGACCTCCTCCGACCTCCTCTGTGGACGGCGGAGAGGAAATAGCACATCGAGCTGCACACACTTTTTAACACAGTTGAACACTGTACGCTTGCATTTGCAGCGACGTGTCAGCTTTTTTGCTTTTATTTTTTTTATTTTCTATGCATTTCTAATTGGTGTGAAGATATTTGTGCCCATGTCCTGCAGCTATGATGGGCCCATTGAAGGACTCTAGACACAAGGAACTGTACAGCACCAGTGCTCTTTGTGGTTTGTCAGTGTATGGAGTGTAGGCTGCAAGTGCCGGGCTGTTTCTTAAAGGGATTATCTGTCTGTGATGACATCTGGGTTACACAAGCTGTTTCCTCGAGTCACCAGAACAAGTTAGACAATTACCCATCGGCTACTTCTTGTAATTCCCCTCTTTTCTACTTGTTCCAGAGGTTTACCAATGAGGACCACTTGGCTGTACACAAACACAAGCATGAGATGACACTGAAATTTGGACCGGCCAGGACCGACTCTGTTATTATTGCAGGTATTCTTTTCTTTCCTAAACAAAACCACAGCATGACTCCTCCTCTTTGTTAAACAATCCTCTCCCGGCATGTTTATCCATAGCGTACCTCAATATGCGTCTGCTATCAGCACAGTCTGAAGAACAGCAGCTCCATTGACACATTCATGACATGGCTTCTATATTTAATGCTGAGCGTGAAAGCGATACTTTGAATAATTATCTGTGTTTGTTGCATTTTGCCAGACCAGACACCTACTCCCACCCGCTTCCTTAAGAACTGCGAGGAGGTCGGTCTGTTCAATGAGCTGGACAACTCCTTCGACCAAGACGACGAGGACAAGCGAGCAAAGAACGCCGTAAGAAAGACGTGGGGTTTAGGATTCTGCCAATAATTCCTTATTGTGTTTTTATCAACAGAAACCTCTGACAAAACACCCATATTGTGAAAATCCTTTTGTTCTTCCTCCTTTTTGTACCACACAATTTGATTTAAAAATGCTCACTTTCAGGGGTTGCTGCTTTGGGCATTCATCAGTACAAGTTAAACTGTTGCAGTGACCTTTTTTCTTTTTTTTGTGAGCATTTAAATAGATCTGTGTGTTTTATTGCACCAAATACTGTTAACTGATTCTGCGTCTGTTTGGTTTGTGTGCTAAATGTAATCTTTTATATAACATTTTTCAATGCAATGTAGTCTCTTCTGTTTGATAAGTCACATGAACTCATTCTCTTCATCTCTCCCACCTGTCTTGTCTTCCTCAGCTCCCTGCTCCCAGCTCCGGGGCCGTGGACATGAGCATGCAGACGGCATCGGACGTGAAGGTGAAAGAAGAGGAACCCGTAGAGGTGGACTCCTCGCCACCAAGCAGCCCCGACTCTTACTCCGGAGATTCGGAGAACTACTACGAGCCTCTGGTCCGAGGGAAGGTAGGACAGAATGGGAGGAAAAGGGATTACACGGGGGGGGGGGTGTAGTGAAGAGGGTGGATCCTCAAACCGTTAACTTAACACCGTTCTTCTCCAAGGACACGCCGCCCAGAATTTCAGGCCCAACCCCGACTATCGTGCGTCCAGGTTCCCTGCCACTACACTTGGGCTTTGATGCGCTTCAGCCCACCATGCCGTCACCCACCTCTGTCATCACACAGGCACCACCTTCCAATCGAAATCTGGGGTAAGTGAAGACTTCCAATAATCCATTTAAACCCGATTGGCCTCAGGTAGCTTTAAAGCTCTTAAATAAAAACACATTTTCATCTCCCTTAATTATCACCCATCATTGAGACTCCTTTGCTGCATGGCAAGAGGCCCACACTGCCATCGGCTTAAATGTCTTGTCACTTCGGGAATCTCCTCTGTGGGATAAGCCCAACATCTGCCTTCCGTTTGCAAATGGAAACATAAAGAATGTGTGTGGATAATGGCAATGGACAATTTATTAGAACAAGATTGGATTTTTGCAAACGCAACTTATAATTAAGGGATTCTTTTCTGACGGGTGTGTGTGGGCTGCCGGTGGTACTTTAATACACTTCCTCATCTATAATCAGACATATTTTGCATTAAAAACTTGTGTTGTGTTTATGTCGTAATATCTACACTTCTGTGGATTTGAGCCATCATTCACGGCTTAGACCAGTATTTATTTATGAAAGAAAGGATTTTGTGCCATTGAGATGGGTAATTTGTTCCCAAAAAGTGATTTAGTTCTTACGTTACAAAAGCTTTCTAGCACAAAACTTTCAATTCAAACCAACATGACTGAACTTTCTGTTCCTGCCCGTCTAGTTCTCCAACCAGCCACTACCCCATGATGATGCTTCCGTCTGGTCAGGCAGTGCCTGTGCTACCTGGTCCAATACAGATACCCTCTGTCATTAACGTAAGGCAGACCGACGGCCTATAAATGTTGGGTGTCAATTTATAACGAACAAGTTGGTTCACGTTGTGAAAACATGTGTGCTTGCACCTCTTACGTTGCCTCCAGCTGGCGAGAACCATGAGCATGGTACCCAACATTCCTGGAATCCCCGGTCCTCCTCTGGGAGGCAGCAGCAGCGGCTCCAACTCCCCTTCTGGCTACAGCATCCACTCAGAGGCCAAGATGGTCAGCACTAGATTAGCTCTCTATTTTTATCTATTTATCTGTTCTTTTTGTCTCCTCCTTCACCCTGCAGCCTTCCTTTGCTCTGCCTAGGCTTGTTCATCATAAGACTTTCTACTGCAGTTACTTGTTTTTGACGCGCTTAAGGCCTACCGATCCGACATCAAAGAACTGGGACCAGGGCTGACTGTTGTGTCACCTCACGTGGCCGGTTTCTTGGCCAATAAGTAGCACTTTAACACACCACAGAGACGCCACATCGCCCGTATGTTCTGCAACATTTAGCGCTGTAGTTTTGAGTAGAAAGAAACCCGGACCTTCCGTCCACCCTCCTCATCCATCGGCTCAGTAGGGGCGCTACGGTTTCCTTTATCCTCTTCCTACCAGCCTCGGTCGCACACGAAGGATGGAAGGAAAATAACTCTTTTGTGCTGTTGTTGTGTTTTGTTGAGTGATTATTTACATGTAGAACTGAATTATTCAAATAATGGCTATTCAAATGATTTTAGGTAAATTTTCTTTAAAATAAACCTGCTTGGGTCCAAATGCATCACGTGAAATTTTAATTCCATGCCTGTATCTGTCCTTCAAAAAGAGAAACCTGATGCCCTCAGATTTCAGATATACAAGCAGTTGTTATGATGGCTACGTGAAACAAAACACATCTCAACAATCCTTCCTGTCTCCCTGAGATTTCTCTGGGCGACGGGCTTCACTGGCAATTTCACTCGCTGAGTTGTCCAGTAAGCTGCAGAGTAGAGCCAGCTACATCGAGCAGAGCGGGACATGCTGCAAACGCAAGGGCTCACCAAAACGTTCAATTTAGATTTCAGCCACCTATTCACTGCTCATAATCACTGACGGGTGCACTGCAAATCATTGTGTTCATTGTCTTGAGGACTGCAGCTCTTTTTTACATTCATCATCACATATTTCTTGAAGCAACGGGCTTTTGACCTGGTGCTTATTTCATAATGTTATTGAACTTGCTTTTTTTGCCCCTTTTTTTGGAGATAAATCAATTTGTGTGCTTACATTACCCAGTGAACACTGCTGGTCAGTACGGTGTTTTTGTGACGTGGTTGTTGTTGATTTTGGTGTCATTATTTTCCTGTAGCGTTTGAAAGCTGCCCTGTCCCAGCAGAGCCCGTCAGGATACAGCATGGGGATGATGGCCATGGGCGGCAGCCCCATGGTACCTCAGAGGGCAGAGCAGAGCCAGCTGCTGGTCCAACATCCTGATGCTCCGTCACCGGCTCAACCTCAGGTACGGCGTGTTGCCGACAGTGTAGTGTGACCTTCAGCTCCAAGAACAATGTTCCTTCCAATTTGGAAAATCCAACTAAAGTAACGGAGCGAAACCTTATTTGATGTACGGCATAGCAGCCGTTTTATCTGAAGAAAATTGGGCTGTACTTCTTGTGGTGAGATGACTATAATGTGCTCTGACTAAAATAATGAAACTATGACTCAAACTTCCCTTTTTTCTATCGCGTCTTTCTTCCGCTCCCCTCCCTTGTCTGTTGGGTTTCTTTCTCCCCCCTTGACCCTGTTCTCCCTCCAGGTATCTCCAGCACAGCCCACAGGTGGGCGGCGGCGGCGGACTGCAGAAGATGACCCAGATGAACGGAGGCAGCGGTTCCTCGAGAGGAATCGGGCCGCCGCGTCGCGCTGCAGACAGAAACGCAAACAGTGGGTCAGCTCTCTGGAGAGGAAGGCCGAGGAGCTGTGCACGCTGAACGTCTCGCTGTCGGTACGTGGGCGGGGCTGTGGCCCGCGGGAGGCCCGTGTCAGTTTGTGCATTGTCACACTCACTTTGCACAGTTGAAAGGCTTGTTGGTAGTTGTTTGTTACTCGAGACCACCACTTCTCCACTTGCAGCTGTACTGCAGTGGAAACCCGACTCTTTACCCTTTTGGAGCTGAAAACATAAAAAATCTATTAGCAGAATACAAGTTGGCACGGCCTCAATAATTTGACCCAATGTAGGATTGTTTGTTTTTCTTCTTTGGGGTGTACGAATTATGGAAAAGTCTTGAAAATGTATATATTTTTTGTCCGTCTTTAGAATGAAGTGTCTCTGTTGCGGAACGAGGTGGCTCATTTAAAGCAGCTGCTGCTAGCCCACAAGGACTGTCCTGTGACCACCCTGCAGAAGAGGACTGCCTACCTAGGTGAACCTTCTTAAAAGCATGCCATGTTTCTCCTATGCTACACCCATGTGTTTATCTCTCCACTCTCCGTAAATATTCAGGACGGACGACAAAGACGATGTGTACAGCTTTTCAGTTTAAGCTGGTTGGAACTTTATTCATGGTTATAAGCGAAATGCAGTTGCCAGTTTAACTTTACATCTTCTGTCGTCTTCTTTTTTTTCTGCAGCTGTAGAAGAGAGCATGAAAGACAACTCAGAGCCCACCGGGTCCCCCGCCCCGGTGATCCAGCACAGCTCCTTGGCACACAGCCCCTCTGCAGGGCACAACGGCCTGAGCTCAAGGGCAGCAGCTGAGGCCATGGCTATGTCCGTGCTGGCAGGAATGGGCCAGCAGCAGAGGGCCGAGAGCGGACCCTCTCACATTATCATGGCTGCACAGTCTCAATCTGCTGCCAGATGATGAGCGATGCCACCACCGCCCAGACTTGGCACAAAATCATCACCCAGGGATAAAAAAGAGCAGCGGACCCCCCCTCAAAACTTGGCCTCAATAGAGAAGTCCAAATCTCCTGTCTTCCCCTTCGCCCTTCGCTGTGCTCCTCTGCTCTCTCTGACCCTCTTGTGGAGCCTTCAAGCCGCGGCCTGAAGCTCAGCAGCAGCCTTCTGAGAATGGACTGAGACTTTTGAGAGAGCTTCCTGTTCACTTTGCCATAGATTACAGGGGCTGGACTCCAACTTCACATCCTTGTTCCCCCTCTGTGACCCCCCTCCACCCCCCCTCCAGTCAAATTGACTCTACTGCGGACTGTAGGACGGCATCACTCTGAGTGTATGCCGACATGAACTTCCCAGCTTCTCACAAACTAGGCGTGGCATAACCATTCTCGATCAAATCAAGAGACCAAACAACGCACAGGACTTCACAGCGTTATCAGCAGGGAATTGTGCCTTGTGCTCCCCGACTTGTTAGCCATGCACACACCCACGCACGGCGTCACGCCGTCTCACCATACGTCCCTGTACATCCGCGGCGCTAAAGATGCAGTAGTTGTCTGGACGTCAGCGACTCGGATCTCAAATACTCACTCAAACCTTTTTTAAATGGTTCCACCAAAAGGTGATCTCCACACGGACCCAAATACCTTACCTCAATTACTCCCCATTAGCAGTATAAAATGAATAAACGGTGTGTGTAATAAGCTCTGTCGTATATATATATATATAAATATATATTTATATACATCCCAACATAGTGGTTTGCCTACTCCTGAACTGATTCGTTAATATCTAGATTGTTAGCATGTGACTATTAGGGTGTTATGTTCTTGATACAGCCATGTGCAGCTAAATACTTTTTTGTAACTGATTGGCACATTGTCCCAGATTAGTCCACAGAGCCAGAACCAGATTATATTGATGTTGTACTATCTTAAAATTAGTTTGATTGAGCAACAAACTGTTCTCAACCTCCCCCCTCCTCCTTACTTTAGACTAAAACACAGTTTTGCTGTTCATTGGTTTGTGAGTGGACGCCTTTTCCATTTAATATGAAACTATTGCGGTGACTGTTTCTCCTTGCGGGGCCCCGGACTTACTGTAACTGTTATTTTCACACTTTTCAGGATGGTTGCACATCCTTGCTGCTCATTGGAAGTGTGATGAACCCGGTCACCCTGCTCTCTATCAAACCCAAACTAAGCCATACTGACCACAAATCAGATATTTGAATCTCTAAAGACCACCTTGCACGTGTTCTGGGTCCAGGAAGTGTTTAGCCTTACTGTTACTTTGTGACTCAAAGGTTGAAGTGACAAAGTCTACAGTACATCCCTGCTTGTTACTTGCACTTACACTCAGTCTCACATACAATTTCTGATGATTTTGCCTTAAGATCACATTGGTGCCTCCGATAACTCCCCAAAAACACAGATTGGCTCTGTGAAAACGTTTATTTGTATCGATTTGTCAATTTCATCAAAAAAAATCGATCGAACGGGAACAAAGGATTTAGTCAGTGGAGATTCATCAAAGCCTTAAAAATGTACATTTAAATTTAATTTCAGGGATGTAAAATCATTTAATACTTGCCTGTCATCTGGTGGAAAGACGCAGCAAAGACATCTTCACTGGAAAAGCTTTGAGGGAGAAGAACGTTTAGAGGTCTTTGGACTGTAACTATATGGTTCCCTTTCTTTATGAACCCCACCAAAATATTTTAGCAACATATGGGTATATTTTTTCATAAACACCTAAACAAGCAGTTTTCTTTCCTTCATTTTCTTCCTGTATGTCTTTTCATTTGTCTGATAGGATCATATAAATGTGAGATTTCAAAAGCAAGATATCAGTCCATTCACTCGAGGAGTCTTGATGCACTAAAGGAAAGCAAGTTTAATATTGCTTTGTAGTTCTGTTCATTCGTGGTTGGTGCATTTCTCTTGGTCTTTTTTAGGGGCATCGGATCTTTTAAAAAAAGAAAATCACATGATTCTCCTATCTGTACTGTATTCATTAATGGGAATGTGCGGAGCAACTTTAAAACCTTTTACCTTTGACTGAAACCTCTGTCCTGCAAAGAGACCCCGGCATGTCGTTGTACGTCAGAGCTGGCGCTATATTTGGCCGGCAGTCCCTTATAGACGATTGTTCATATGAAAGGAGAAGTCAAACCATATTTAGCCTTCATGTAGTTCATGTCATTGGCACCTTTTCTGTCATTTTTTGTTTTCTTGTGTTGTGTGCTGTTTTCAGCACCATGCGACCCTCGTCATAACGCTTCTGATTGTACTGATGAATATAGAAACTAATTTCTTTAACGCAGAGATTTATTTTTTGTTTTTCTAAAGAAAAATATAATTTGCCCTCTATCAAAAAATATTTTTTTTATATCTTTATAGATGAATTGGGCCGTGTCCTTCTCATTCAAGTCTTTTGGCATATTAATGTTCCCTAGAATTCTTTTGAAAAGGGCAGTTTAAAGACAAATACAAACATTTAAAAGTTGCATAGTATATTAACGTTTTTTCACACTCCCGTTGTTGGACTGATCATTTCAAAAATTGTCCTTGTACTGTACATATTTGTACTATATGAATATATTTACTTTTCCATGCATGTCTAAGTGGAATACTATGAACACTTACAGTGCTGCCGTTTTAATTAAAGAAAATACATACTTAATTAATATTTGTTTTCATTCCAGTTTCATTTTCATCATTCCAGTCCAGCACACTGACAGAACCATGTTCATAAATACAAAATGTGTCTAGGATAAGGAAATAGCCATGTTATTTATGAATGATCAAGGACCCTTTATTTAACAACCAAATTGTCCATCAAAGCGACGACTCGACTGTGAGCTTAGTAGTCGAATAAGGCTCCTTCAAATGAATCAGCGCACGGAGGACTGTTCCTGTGACGATGGACGTACAGGGTCCACCCAGAGGGAAGACGAGTGTACTCAGACAGACAGTACCTTTACATTAAAGCATGTGAAAACGTTCTTGTAGTTCTCTTGTAAAAAGTTTTTGTCATACATTTTAGCGTTGGTGTGTATTTGGAGACGTAAGTTTCAAATCCTGACTGTGGCCCTGCTTTTAATTGAAGTTTTTGTACTGAGCTAAAGTCACCGAGGTGACACAAGTAGCTGCAATTATGCTCTTATGTCGAGTTTGCTTTGAAGCTTGTTGTCCTTATGACACAATGTCCGTGTTCCTTTTGAGAAAAACAAAATCGTAACCTTTTTGTATGCAGCCCCTAATTGTGTAGAAAGTGGTTGGAAGGAAATGTTTATTTTTTATAACGGTTGCTGTCCCAATGCCACGTTGGCCTTTTCAAGTATTTTAATATGGACTTTAAAGTACTTCATCTCAAGTAGGACCAAGGTCAGATAGAACCGTGACCATCGGTTATTGTGTCCATAACAGCCTACAAGGGCTACAAATAATGAATCTACTGATTAATCAGTCGATTTTACTTTAAAATCAACTACTTTTAAGCAAAGCACACAACATTCACTGTTCCAACTTCCAACAAACCAACAATATTTAAAGACGTCTCCTTGATCATTGTGGGCTTTTGATAGTCCTTCTTCACTACTTTCCGATGCGTGATTGTTCAAAGATTTAGCAAAGGAAATCATTGTCACATAAATCAACATCGAACATGATCGTTAGTCGCAACTCAACTCTGCACATTCCATGTTACATGGTATTGTAATTCGTCCACCGCACCATATAACCAAACGGCAGGCCCCATTGCTACGCTGGCACAGGGCATTCGGTTTGTCAATGTGGTCACGGATGTCAAATCAAATGTGTAATCGTAGAAAGTCCCACGCAGTGGAACAAGTACAGTGAACTGTTCATTTGGGTTCAAGTATATTCAAGGGTTCAAGGATATTCTGGTAGTTTTCCCAAACCTTGGCGAGCCACAGCTTAGTTGTAAAGGTGGAAAATCCTGACCCACACTTTTCCCAAATCATTAGGTTCAACTTGTAATGGCCACGGGGATTCCACTGGGAGTTTAACATGTTGAGGGTAACATGATGAAGTTGTGCAGTGCTTGTATGTTGTAAGTCGCTGTGTGTGTTTCCGCCCTTGTGACGCCAGGGGGCGCCACAGTTTCGGTGCGTTGCGAAGCAGCGACCGAGCGCGCAGGCGAGGTGAAGGCGGTCACGTGACCGCCCGTTGCCGTTGGTGAGTTTTTCACAGTATGGCGGAGGGGGCAGCCGTGCGGACGGACCGTCTCTCCCACTCTAATGCTTGTTTTGTGTCTTGAGGGAGGGCGTTTTGCATTTATTTGTTTTCTACACGCGCCGGGCCGAGCCGGCTCCTTTTAAACCCGACTCCACTGGCGTTCCTCGGCGAAGTCATGGCCGACCGCAGCGTGGATTTGTCCGCCCTGCCAAAAGAGGTTCGAGACCAATTTGCGGAGTTGGATCTGGAGCTGTCTGAAGGTAAAGGAGGGGACGGGAGGGGGCCCGGGGGCTGGTTTCTCTCTGTGTGTGTTAAGGGGGGGGGGGGTTGAGGGAGATGCTATAGCAGATTAAGCTAGCTATGTGTCTGGGCTAACCCGCAATGGAGTCAACCAGTCGTTTCCCTCCCTTTTATCACACTTAAAACAGCTTATAAATACGTGAGTGAGCGCTCGCGTCAGGCACCAAAGCTAGCTTATGCCGAGCTAATACAGGATGTGGAGACGCGCGCTAGCCGGGCATGACAAGCAGCAGAGAAAGGCTTCCATCCATTTCCTCGTGTCTGCTGCATCTCAAACCGTTTCAGGCTAAACGTCGATCCAAAGCCGAAGCTCCTCATTTGCCGACTTATTGAATGTCAAAAACCCAAGTTGTGTGTATGAGTGAGTGAGGCTGTCTGGATGACCACAGGCACGGTCTGCTATCCGTGCTTGACCCCACTCCTGTCACCTAGCTTATACGTCTCCATACAGTCATTTGACTCATGTGTGAATACTTGGGGGGGGGGCTTCCGGGGGGCTTCCGGTTTGGCCTTGTACTGGCATCTGCGTTCAAGGTTTCAGCTGAAAATGACATGTTTTATTGCAGTAAAGACGGTGAGTCATGACCGTGCCCTCAGTCATTACCACACTGAGTGACTTCAGTGGTCAACACAGATGTACACACATGTCCTTGGACACGTGTGGCTGTGTGTGTGTGTGTGTGTGTGTGTGTGACTGTGATTCTTGGGTTTACCTGCGTGCTCTGCTGGTCGTGAGATTCGCTGCCCTCAATCGTGTGGACAAATTGTGTGCGTTTCTGTGTCATGTTTGTTCTGCCCTTGTGGATTTGGGGTGGCTGATGGATGAGTCTATTTATTGTGGTGTGCAAATATCTCCAGCTATTCATTCATCCACAGCTATAGTGCAATCAACCCCTCCCCCAGGGCAGCTGTTGGCCCTTGTTGTGCTCTACACACCCATTGACACCCAACCGTCACATCCGAGTGACAGCGTCCCCCTTGTCCTCCTGCACGGCACCTGGGCTACATTCCTCCAGCTGAGGGGACGTGAGGTGGCGGCGCCCTGCGCAGTGTCCGCTGCGTGTCCGCTTGTCCACACTGATGCTCGGTTGTTTCAAGAGTGTGATTTCTGAAAATACATTTTTGCAATTCTTAATACAAATGCACAAACAAGTCAATCAGGACGTGGTTTCTTTGCAACTGAAAGTTTTGTATTTCTATATAACCAATATGCTTATTTACACGCTCATTACTGATAATTGAAAGAATAATGCAATTTGTGTCAGCCAATATTGAAAGCTGATATATTGCTTTTGGTATACGTTTCCCATTTTGTTAAAAAGGGCATGTACTCACAGGCTGACCATTTAGCACACTTCCATCATAGCCCTTTTAAAAAAAACTTGTCAGTGTGTGTAATTTAGATGGCAAGACTATATACAGACTGGAGGCTTGCACATTAATGCCATATTAGCATTATACTGCATGCAACACGTCGTCATCACCGGATAGATCATTTTTCGTGGTCTACACCAACCGTTCCTCTGAAGTGGAAATGCCTGTTCCTGCGTTGCTTGAACAAGAACACAGGCCTGTCAAATGGCCCCCTAAAAAACAACCCAGTTCTGCTCGCCCCGCTGTGACCATGGGGAACACAATGAGGACCATTCAGCTGGCCTGAGCTGCCGTGGCCAGGAGCTCTGCTTCCATTTAGGCCATTCAGCTGAACCCAGTCTTTGTGTGCACGTTGGAATTAGCCGCCTTCATAGGAAGAGCAGGGAGGGGCTGGTGACGAGTCATTCTTGAGAAGATGATGAGAGGGACCATCCTCAACGGACTCTCTCTCTCTCTATATATCTCTCTTGGCCGAGCCAGGGTTTAAAGGTCACGTCTGGTTCTTCCCTGGAACCGGCCTCCCCGGTTGACATCCCCCACCAAGTGTCAGGCATATTGTGCCCAAGTCCAATGTTGCTGACACAAGTAAAATTCCACACCGATATCTGAGTTTGTAGCTGGTGGTTATGGGCGAGAAACCAATGAATCCCCCCCAGTCTTAACTTTCAAATCACAGCAACATAGACTCTGGTGCACATGCTTATCGGTGTTTATGAACAGATAAAAGTTTTACTCTTTGTTTGCATCTGGGATCAGCATGTGCAGACGTGGAGAACAGATTATTTCCAGTTGCTTCCTTTCCAGGCCAGTCGTCCTCTTTCAGATGCTAACAGAGGGAAGCTCTGCTCATTCCCGCGTTAGGAGAGACGTCCCTCAGCATAGGATGACCGCACGGATACCCAGTCCGTCTCAGCTGTCCATCTCCCTGACCCTGACTCCCAGTGAGCACGGGAGGGACTGAAGCCTGATGGATCCTTGAGGAGGACCGTCTTCCCAACCAGGGGAAGGAGACTGGAAAAAGATACAACTTATCTCTCTGTGTTAACAGGGTCTGCAGAAAACTTTTGGTAATACTAAGGCATAGCTCTTATTTTGAGACCGATTGCAGCCATGTGAAATACTGGTCTAGACCAGGACGAAAACAGGAATAAGGGCTGTTATCTCAGCAGGCCTGACGCAACATGCAGCACTTCACCTGCAAATACGACTGGGCAACAGTTTTTAAAACTGACTGCGAAACAAAGGGAAGGGGATATGGGATGATGACATCAGTCAAATGTCCCCAGACAAAGTAAATCAGGAAGATCACAGTTACAGAATAAGTGACCACTTCCCGTGTGTTTATAGCGTTTGTGCAACACATTGCTGTAATAAAAACAAAGGATGTGCCTTTACTTTTAGACAACCACTTTGACGTTTTCGCGACAACTTATTTTCTTATTTGAAGACACTGTAAAACCTACCACTATAATTTCTCCGTGACTTTAAATGGGCTTTGAGCTGTGTGTTATTTCTCTGTTCTAGAGAAAGATATTTTTGGACGGTATACGCTTCTGTTAGCGCCCAACCAGTCAGAATCCGAAATGGACAACTAACTCCTCTTCCTTGTAGCTGCGGAGCCAAGGCCTTAGGGCCAAGCAGATGGTTGTGTGGTTGTGTACTTTTGGCAAAGGTCTATCTAAATATGTGTTAGTGTCTGTTTGTGTGTGTGTTTGCATGTGTTATAATACTGTTGTACTGTGAATAGTTAACAATGGCTGCCTTCCCTTTTCCTCCTCCAGACCTGTTGCAGTCTGAATTATTCACATGGTCCCGTTAGATATCAGGACACGCTTTCAGAGTGTGTGTGTGTGTGTGTGTGTGTGTGTGTGTGTGAGAGAGGACGGGCGGGTGTGTGGGGTTACTAAGCTTTCTTCTTTAAGCCTCCCTGGTAAAAGTTGAGCACCAGAACAATCCTTGTAAAAGTAGCCATGATCAGCACTCTGCCACTGAAATGGAGCTGACCTTGAGCGCTGACCTCTTGGTGGACGTAGCAAAGTTAACGTAGTTACCTACACTCTATGAATATAAGATGGGACATTGTCGCCTAGGCATCCGTTTTTTTGAATGTACCAGTCCAGGGAGACCTTTTTTTTTTAACCTGCTCCTTGTAAATCCCTGAGTCACTGCAGATGGGAGTGTCCTCCTCCTCCTCTTCTCCGGGACACATCCATCCACCGCAGAGTGGCAGAACCGGTTTTAGCCCCCAGTCTCGCCGGGCTGTTTGCCCAGCTCGATGCAAACTGTGACTCATCATAGGTGAAAAATGACTGGCTGGATTTTCGGGATATCCGCCTTTATTTACCTCTTGACCTACCTGTAAAGCCGACGGCGATGGCGGAGCTCCTTGCTGACGTAGCGTTGCACAATCACTGAGCTTATTGTGGCATGCGGCCATTCAGTTGGGGGGCCCAGGCTGTGACACGGCAGACAATGTCGAACGATTCTCAGCCTGATTTACAGCCTCATGACGAACTTCATTGAGAGCAAAAACAAAGTTTTTATAGCATCTCCTGTGGTTGTTAGACGGCGGGAGCTGATGCACAGCCCCTCTTGCATATTGCGATGCTGTCCACTGCCTGGCGGGCCATGTGACTGTGTTAAAGCTGAAGAATGCTCTTGTGAATATAAATAGACCTGGCTGGCAAGACCAATTCGCTTTCATGCCTGAGGAGGAGAAAACAAGCGTCTCTTTGACACCAAAGCTCTGCCATTATCGCAGCGGAGGACACACTCGCTCAAAGTTCCGAGGAGTCTGTTGCAATTGTGTGCGATTCTTTCTCGGCGGGCCTGACGCTCCCGGCCTGCAGACGGTGGCCAGCGGCCAGCGGCGGACCGTCGCACATCCAACAGCGAGATGCTCGGCTGCCACGTGTGGGTCACTGCCCCGTGGCCGGGCTAAAGGGACGTTTCTGATATTTGGCTGATCAAAGACATTATTGTTACCAACGTTTTAGCACTAAAAAAGGAACAACTATCTGCGATTAGCTCTAAAAATGACCCGAACTCTGACCATGAACCTGTTTGTTGTAAACCATGTTATGAAAAGCATTATTTGGGCTCTTCAGCTGATCATTAGAGCCTTTGTAGAACACAGGCTATTTTCTCAGCAGCTGGTCAGTTTCTATATATGAAACCACAGGCCTGCGTCACAGGAAGGGCTGATGGAAAACCAAAGCTTGGCGCAAAGCGGCCCGGCTGTATATGTACAATGAAAGTTTCCAAAAGGTCAATTGCTCTCTCCGACGGTCACTCATCGGGTTGCTGTATTATGTTGTCGTTTGGACTCGTGCCCTACATTTCAATAGTTCTCTTCCTTATTCTCATCCGGAGCCAAAGGGGTTATCGTAAAGAAATACCAGTCAGTAGAAGTCCTCAGGAAGCCCCTCAACAAGATGATGTGTATCTCCCCTCTTGGCCCCCCATTGAAGCCACGGACCCCTTTAATGCAAATCCCCAGGGAAACACGTCCAATGGGTGGGGCTTTAACCTCTTCATCCTCAATAGCACAGCCAATGTTGTACGTTTTGTATCTCCATAGCCTTGA